TATGAATACTTTCAAAGATGTCAGTACAAAGTATTTCATTACGTGCTATGTGGTTACCCAACGTGCCTGACTGTCATTTTGTGACTCTATCCAGGCCATTCAGCAGAATACTCTGAGACCGAATGTGGGCATGAATCACAGCGTGAAGCAAATCAGACAGGAAGCCTGAGTGAAGGTTTGTACAGCGACGATTCCGATGAGGAATGGGATATTGATTCAGAAAATGTTGAACCTGAAAAGGTACTTGACCCTATAGTTTCTTGAGCAATTCATGCTAGATCATGTGCCGAGTAAAGCGAAGCTGATTTATGATGACAGGATGCCAGGTTCAAAGCAACCATTCATGTCGCAGACACCTCGTCAGTATGGCTCTACATATGCTTATACTTTCTTGAAGAATACTCATCTTAAAATTATAGACGACGGACTTATCGTGCCTTTATCGAGTACTCGATTTGCGGGTGAGTAAAGATCATCTTTACAACGGAAACCATCATTATGAACACTGCCGTGTTTCAGCTTGCAAGTCTGATCTTTCTTCATCACTTTAGAGCACTGTATTTCGCACCCCTGCGGTCTGCATACAAGCAACACTGTATCACGCGGCTTGTAACGGCGAATCTTGGTCAACAAAAACACCCTATTCCTTGGCCTGAGTGGGCCGAAGCTCGTAGCACCCCTCATACCACTGTACCTGGTTTCAAGACTCTCTCAAGCCCAAAAAGCCTGTACCGCCTAGCCGATAGTGAGTAAATCTAATTTTATATCTGGGGCCTGACACCATGGCAATTGGAGGAACTCTGACTTAGATTCTTGTGATTGTGTCAAGTGTTGATCATTCCTCAACTAAAAGGCATATGTCACCAACAAATTGTTGACTCTCTAGATGCAATGAATGTAATCACCGAGATTCAGAGCTCAGTCTTCCAGCAACACGAGGAACTGCGTGTGGAGGCCTATAAAGTGATGCGTAGAAACTGGCGATCATATCGTTGTGCGGTGATCGCTCCTTTCATCACGAACCTGTCACCAGAGGAATCAATTCTTGTTTTTAATCACATACTCAAGGATCTTACTCCCTAGAATTGTCTTCATCAACTTACTTTTGGTGGAATCTGGATTCTGAGTGGTATACTGACATGTGCTTTCTAGATGAGCAAAACGGGCATGTATTTATGTTTCTAGCAGAACAGAACCAGTATGTATCTTGTTATATCATGTCGTTCATTGTCAATTATCACACTTCAGCTTTGTATTGTTTATGTCACATGAGAAGACAAATGTGACCATAACTTCCAATATGTGATCAGGTATTTCTAATCAGGTGTACATAGATGTATAGCATTACTTCTTCTCATTAGGCCTCACAGGCTCAGCTCTGACAAAGACTGCCTTGTTTTTTTGCTGTATGTGCTATCTTGAACGATAACAGTTATTCAAGACTATGACTATCATATCAGAGGTACACTGACTGCTAGGAAATGGTATCTACTGTCAGTTTCATGGATGGAGTCCTATGTGAAAGCTGGACTCTGTTATGTTGGCAGTGTCTGTTGATTCAAGGTTGTAAGTAAGTGTAAGATCCAATCATGTTTGATTTCCAATTGATTTTTATTGTTGTTGCATCTGAAAAAGTCCTCAAACAAAATCTTCGGGATTGCACCCCTTGGTTGGGGTCCTAGTCTCTAGACAATCTAAACCAGA